GTCGTAACCCGAAAAGTTTGTTAACAGAGGCGTTCGTAACCCGAGGTACCACTGTACTATATGCAAGGGTCCTAAAACTGAATTTTTTGTTTAGTTATACTATGTAGTTCATCAAAAACCTTTCCCCCCAAATCTGATCCTTTTCCACATGTCCATCTAAAGTGGAAGAATGTTAAAATTGACACTTCTGCAAACTTTTGCAGCTCCTTTTTAATATGAAATGAACATGCTGGGTTTGAGAGTGTATCTGTCATATCGCCTGGAAAAAAATTAGTAATTTTACCCCCTATATTTATCCCTGTGGATTTATTATTCATGCATAATGCTACTATAGTTTCTGTACCTAGATTAAATAGTAAAAGGGATAATGGACATCCTTGTTTAAAACCTCTCAATATTAAAATTTCCTCCTACTCATAATTATTAATTCTTATCCATGCCTTTGTGGGTTTATGAATCTGGTCTATTATGTCTAAAAAATTTGCCAAATTTAAATTTTTGTAAACTTCTTTTCATAAACAATCCTTCCACACAATCAATGTATTTAACAAACATATTGATAGTAATTTGATCTTACAGAAGCATATAATATTTACTAATTTTCTAATAGGGCTGGCTATAGTTCTGGAAATAAATCCAGACTGGTTTGGATATATAATTTTATTTATAATTGAATTGAGATGGATGGATAATAACTTAGTATATAGTTTATAATCAGTATAAGGTAGGGAAATGGGTCTATATGAAATTACATCTTGTGATTTCTTGCCTGGTTTGGGAATAAGGATAATTTTGCAATTGTACCAGGATGCAAGAAGATTTTTCTCTTGGATGCACTCAATTACATATTAATAAGAACTCTGGTATTAAAATATCCTTGCAGTGTTTCTAAAACTCACTAGTTAATCTGAGCCTGGTAATTGCCATTCAAGTTTTCAAAAGCATCAGTAATTTAAATAATCATTAATTTTATCTGCTATAGGATTACCTGAAATATATAAACCTTTGAAAAAAATCATAAATTCATCCTTGATCTTTTTAGTGTGGTAACAATTTGACCTTTAGAACCTTTTAAAAATCTTTTTTTTTTTTTAATCTATTGGCTACCAATCTTGAATTTTTGTTACTGAATTCATAACATTATGAACCCCTCCTCCTCAAAAGGCCACTGCTAGACCCCACTATACTGGACAATTTTCATTCAGTACCTAACCTCCCCTTTTTAGGGAAGGTGGTTGAGAAGGTGGTTGTGCAACAGCTTCAGAGGACCTTGGATAAAGCGGATTAGCTGGATCCCTTTCAGTTGGGATTCAGGCCTAAGTATGAGACAGAAACAGCACTGGTCACGTTTTGGATGATCTCTGGAGAGGGTGGGATGGCGGTTGTGCATCCATCCTTGCCCTACTTGACCTCTCTGAGGCTTTCAATACCATCGACCGTGGTATCTTCTGGATTGGCTCAGAGGATTGGGGGTGGGCAGCACTGTGTTCAGTGCCGCCCACCCCCAATGTGTGCTGGTTCACCTCCTACCTCTGCGGCAAGTTCTGATTGGTGGTGGTTAGGGAGGAGAGATTCTGCCCTTGGCCCCTATGTGGGGTGCCACAGGTTCAGTACTCTCCCCCCTCCTATTTAACATCTACATGAGGCTGCTGGGTGAGCTAATCCGTCGCCATGAGGTGAGGTATCATCAGTATGCTGATGATACCCAATTATACATCCCTACCCCTTGTGAATTAAGTGATGCTGTGAATGTCTTATCCCAC